AAAAAAAAAAAAAAAAAAAAAAAAAAAATTCTTCCAGAATCATCGTGGTTTTTCCCTCTTCTTGCCAATCTTAACCCAGGACCATGCTAAGGGGTGTCATTCCCATGGGCAAAGAGGGCCCGGCAGTTCACCAGCAGTACCGTGCAAACAGACCGAGTTTGGCAGCTGGTGGTCTCCTGCCCTATCACTTCCTTCTCTTCTGCCCTTGGCACTTTGTGACCTACCCAACCCACTGTCAGTCCTGGTGCTTATCCATTCCACCCAAGTGAGTTGGTTCGGGTTGTGCACCTGTTCCACTTACCCAGTCCCGGGCCTAACTGGCTCTCGCAGTAGAGGACCTGGTGCCTGCACCTGCCCACCTGCTCACAGTGGCTTCATCTTGGCTCCCACCGCAGCTCTTTCCCAGACCTGCCAGCCTCAGCCACAGCTAACCCCATCTCCATGGCCCTCATTTGAGAGACCAGTCTGTCCTGAGCTATGGGATGTCACACTTCACCCCAAGGCTCCTAGTATTTCCATTGCATGCATGAAGACTGGGAAGTATTAATCAATATTTTAGTGATTGGGCTGGGGATTTAGCTCAGTGGTTGGGTGGCCTGCCTCACAAGTGCAAGGACCTGAGTTCAATCACTGGTACCACAAATATATATATAGTGATTGCCTTTTTTCCATAATTGTGAACTCATGAAACACATTTCTGGGAGAGTTTCAGAACAGATTGCATCTTCTCCTCCACCTCCCCAAAGCTTCCGTGTCTGAAAAATGACAGATTCCTGAGGAATCTCAGCTTGAAGCTCCAGGGTTCCTCAGGCCTCCCAGGTGGCGAGTTCAGATCACTTTTGGTCCTCAGTCCAGGGTAAGGAAGGTAATTACCAAAGCCATGATTTATCGTTCTAGCATTGTACGGTTTCTGCTTCCCCTTCTAGAGTAGTAAGAAGCTTTACACAGTAGGAATACTAATCTAGTTTCTAACATTCACCTCCATTCTGCTGAGGTGGCTGGGGGGCAGCGTAGGAGGAAATGCGGGCCAAAGACCAGGAAGACTACAGTGAGCCTAAGAAAAAGAATACCAGGTTATTGTCAAGTGGCCACAGCCAGTTGCATCGCTGGGCTCCCTGTCTCCTCGTTTATTTTGTGATCTAGTGCTAAATTGCTTCCCTGCTGTCTAAACATGAAACCCCCACAGCACAGAATTATCTAGAGCGCATCCCAGCTCCGACCTCCAGCATTGCTCAGTACGTCAGGAGTCCCTAATATGTGACCTGAACACATCCTGCTGGGCACCTGGTCCCCCAGCAGAGGAAGGCTGAGTGCGAGAAGGTGCCCAGAGGAAGAGTGGAGCCAGCCTGGCACAGGGTGCGTGGCAGCCTCGCCCAGCCTGTGCCCATCCTGGGCCCTGCTTCTGTTGACAGTTGGTTCCTTCATCCCTATATTTCTTTGTTTCTTTTGTTAGTGAAAAACATTATGTTTTTAAATTGATTACAGTTAGAATGTATAATTTTTCATTTTGACAATACATTTGCCAGAGTTTATAGCTTCATATTATGCTATTCATTACCATATAAAAGCCCACTCAGTATAATAAAAACTGTATAAGTCAAATGTTCAGCCTGTTTTAAATGACTCAAAGGTGAAAAGACAAACAACTTTTGGCATATCTGGATTAACACTAACGTTATTGTTCTCTTGACTGTTTCTTGTCCATTGATTGTAAAAAGCTTTTACCTCCCTTGCCATCTACAGTATTTGGACAAATCAGATGCAGTTTCATGCTCAGGACAATAAAGTGGGATTGGATGTTGAGTGTATTTGCAGAAAAAGATTTTTGTGTATTTTGAAACAGGCTGCTTGGTAAATATTTCTCAGTATTTCGCAGTAGGCACATTCCTTGCTTGTGACTTGGAGGTTAGCAGTCGCTCCCTTTGAATGATTGCTTGGATCAGTACGGAGTGAAGCCCACATGGTGATAATGTAGACGGCGTGCTTTGTTATCTCTTATTTATAATAAAAGAAAGCTGGAATTTTACACATTTGGATACTTTCCAGTTCCTTAATTCACTTTGTTTATAGAACCAGTCAAAGCAAGAAAGGAAAACATATTTTCTGTTGAATTAACAGGTGTTGCTCAATAGCACCATTGTATTATCCAGATTGCAGTGA